CCATGGCTTGGGTTAGGCACGTCTTAGTCTTAAAACTGACATCTTTGCTCTTCAACACTTGAAAGAAGTCTTTTGAACAGATTTGCCCAATATAATATGTCTTTTGATTTCTTGACTGCTGCTTTTATTAGCATTGATTGTGGATTGAAACAAAATGAAGTCCTTGACAACTTCAATCTTTTCTCTGTTTATCATGATGTTGCTTATTGGTGTAGTTGTGAGAATTTTTTTCTTTTTTTTTACACCATTGTTTCATTGAATTGATTACAATCTCCTCCATGCATCATCATTCAACAGTATTTGCTTCCATTCCCTGTTTTGTTTTGTTTGTTTGGTTGGGGGATGTACACAGAAACACTCAGGAATATTTGATAATTTAAACAACCTAAAGGGCACATTCTGCAAGCATGCCTCCTGACAGCCAGCACCCAGTCCCTCTCTTTCCATGAGTCCAGAGTCCTCAGCTGCTCCCTCTCTCCATGTCCTCATCTCTGTCTCTATCTCTGGTGTCGCTGCTTCTCTGGATAAAGTCCTGCATTCTGCTTGTGCTCTTCTCTCTTGATGGTCCTAGGGTCCTCTGTTTCTGTACTGTAAGATTAACTGCTCCCCCATTTTTGTTTAAAACTTCTACCTTTAAAGTTGTGACAGTCGCAGTTGGTCATGATAACAATTACACACTATTGAATCATAAGAATCATATCCCCATCTCTTTTCATCAGACCCATCTAGACATGATGAAAACTATTCAGTGGGGACTCTACCTTCCCCTGCACACTCTTAAACTAAACTCCCTCTTGAAAACTTGTAAGTCATTCACATCGGGCCTTTATCGCTCCTTCATTTTAGGTAGCAAATGCCTAAGTTGCCCATCCCTACCTACCCTGTATACATAGGGGATAGGACTGATACTTGAGGTGAAGACTTCTTCCCTCTCAGTTGGTATTTTGAGCTACTACATCCATAAGTGTAGATCAAGTTCATCAAATTGTAGCAATTTACACTCATTTCCTTTATTAAAAATTGTTGTTGTTATTAACTTCTTCTAGTTAGTTGAGTTCTGATTATCAAACCATCGAGGCTACATCAAATGGGTACTGTCTGCAAGTTTGCGCATTCTTGTGGGTATCCCCTCACTTCATATCAGCTGGATGCTGCATTGTCAGCTCTAGCCCCAGGTCTCACCCCACTTTGGAACAACCAGCCCTTCCTTTTCTCTCGCTCATCTCCAGGTCAATGGGAGTCTGTGTAACGTGGTTGAACTCGGCACATTTCTTCACTGCTTTCTCCCACCCTCTTCAATTCACCAGTAGACCAGCATAGTTACCAGCAAGTTTACATGCCTGCTCATGTGTTCCCTTTGAGTTTCAGTCTTGGAGGGGAGTTTGTCCTGAAGGGACTTGATGACTTGCCATGATGGTTTCCCAGAGAACAATTTGCTTATTCTTGTAGTAGCCAACCATATCTTTTTTTGTTTTGGGTTTTTCCTGATGATCTTTTTTTGATTATGTATCTTCTGTTGCTCTAGCTGTTCCAGGATAGTTAGCTTGTCCTTTTTAGTGGGAATGTCCCACATCAGAAGCTTTTGGATGTGGCTTAGAATTCCACCTAAGGTCCTATACATTGCAAAGGCTCTGCGAGAATCCGGTTTAACTGGGAATGTTCTAGAACCCCTTTTAGGTATTCCAGTCAGTTATGGGCTGAAAACGGACTTACAAACTTTTTGTAATAATGTCTCCTGACATTCTTTCCTATCCCACTAAAGTGTCTATTTTACAATCATAGGCAAGGAAAGCTAATATTCATAAATCAGTCATGCATCTTAACATTATTTCCCCTCTTCAGACTATGCCTCAATCTCTGTATTACTAGCCCTGTTGTTCCAAGGTTGAGCATGCATCACTATTTACCTCTGTCCCATTTAACCCATGCAAACCTGCTTCAGGGTTCCTCTATCTTCCTTGTTCTTCCACCCCTCTTTCCCTTCCAATTTATTTTTAAATAAAAATATAATTAGAGCATCTTTATCAGATTTTT